GCTCAGAAATTCACGTCTAAACTGTTTAATTACAACACCATGAAAGAAAATCTGTGAAATTATACAAATCACAAAATAACTAGAAATAACCAAGATATACTAATGAGTTTTGACCACATAGGTTATGTGGCTGATAATTGATAAGATATTTACAGAAGAAAATTTGTTGGTGTTTAATTGAATTTCTTAAAACAACAAGATGTATTAAAATGGGGGGGGGGAAGACTGACCGGATTGACAAATATTCATGCCATGTGATACGCACACCATCAGAAGTCACACATACTTCAGGTAATAGAGAGATGGATAGAATTATGAAGTTATATGATACTGGTTCATTCATGTAGCTTTCATTCACTAGAATGAATATATTAAAACATTAATAATGCTGTGTATCATAAAAACTTAGGCATCATCAATAAATATATCACCAAAGTGAAGGAGTTCATTACTGCAAAGCTGAATGAACTGCCTGATATGTTAGATGGATGACTGTGTAAGATACATTAGCAAATGCAAGTTGAAGTAGAATCATTAGTTGACAGTCATTAGATGAAAATGCTGTCTACACAAGGCATTTGCATAACACAGGATTTTACATAACATACTGAATAACAAATGTATTCTAACTAAGCAACAATAGGCCAATGCAGATACAGATAAAACTGAATATTTGAATAAAAAGTAAGTTTTTTCATTTATTGATTAATCCTGCTTCTGCCCTTAGCAAAATTAGATCAAAGAACAATCTGTAAGAACTGAAGACAAAGTTACAATAGTAAAGCAATAATGAAGTGTAACAGCTAACAAACACCAGACACGAAGCAACATATTTCAAGTAATTTGACAGAATACACTGTGCTGATCTGACTGTGAATTCTGTGGTACTATTACATAGTATGTTCATTTACCAACAAGTGTGTACACATATAGCAGCTGCATCAAAAGGCTGGAGAATTTGACATCTTGCCATTGCTCACTGCTTTCATAAACTTATCATAAACTAAGCACATATAAAACCTTGTTAAATGGTAATTTGATTTGAGCCTCTCACAATTTATCCAAATTTTCTGCACATTTCTGTCCATGTTTCTTGGCACAATATACCCCCAAAAAATAATCATTTATCAATTGTATGTTTTGGGTAATTAATACCTCTACAGTTAGTTATAATGCCTACATTTATTGTTAAACAAAAGTACTTTTTCAAGCAGCAGGCATTATTTTTATGATTATCTTTAGATCTCATTCACTTCTGATTCTGTAATTTTTGAAATTCTGCAGATATTCCTTTATGGTGCTGCAACTCAGTTTTTGAGAAGTTCATTTTACATAATTCTCCCTCTCTCAGTTTTAATAAAGTTAATTGAAAAAAGAAAATGGTAGTAAATATGGTGCAATACCTCCAGTCAGTGGTTCTGCATCATTGTAATTTTGGAAGCTAAGTTTTCTTTAAAAAAATAAAATTTTGGTACTTTTTGTTATTGGGACCAGACTTGTACTAATAACAAAAATCAATATGATTTAACTAAAAGTGTAATAGAAAGAATTAGCATGTTCACATAAGTATTGCATTTGGTATTATTGGGAAACATTTGGCAACATCTAAATTCAGTCCCAATATAACAGAAAAGTACCCCCAAAATTTTTTTTAAACATTCAGGTAGATAAATTAAATATCTTTACATAAGATTTAAAGAATTGTTTACCATGCATTAAATTTAAAGAAATAATTTCAGTTTCTCAATTTTCAGTACTATTCTGTTAGAGTGGTGTCGGTTAAAAATGTGCCACTTTTTTTTTTTTTTGGCCACCAATTGCTGCAAAGTTTAAAATTATGAAATAATAATAATAGAGCTCAAAAGATTAAAAAATACTTCTGTAAAAAGTTTTTTTTAAATTTCATAATTCTTAAAGAAAGGAAATTTGTAAGTTTTTAATCTAGAATGTTCTACACATAAATAAAAAATAACAAAACAAAATTTAATTATAACAGGTGACATAACAAATGTTCTACACATAAATAAAAAATGACAAAAGGAAATTCTATAAATTCAGATGGCATAAAATTACAAATATCATTCAATATTACAGAAAATAATTCTGTTTTTTAATATAACTGATACCATATAAATTTTATTAAATATTACTTTAAATGGTGCTGAGCAGTGCCCCGCTGATCTTTGTTTCTCCATTTAGCACTGCCCCACAGTATGGCATCTGGTTTCGGGGTCTACAAAATTATCATTCACAGTTCATACCCAGCATTTCTTAATTCCTCTTTCTTATATCCTTTCCAGAAGTCTAAAAATATAATGCTGCTATATGCGATGTTTTCCTGAATGGCAGTCAATGTTGTAGCACAAAGATCAGGAATGGTGACCAGAAAACATTATTTGCTTTCCTGGCATAAAGCCCTGAATACTCATTGTTTCAGAACACATCCAACACTGTTTTTTCTTTTTGTGAAAAGAACTTTTGTCTATTTTTATGATTTTGTAGGCTCCACTGATTTGATTTCTTTTACGAGACAAACTATTTGCACATACCTCCCTCAAGTAGTTATTCTAAACTACTGTCATATTATGGCTTGTCTGATTTCTAACTGGAGTTGACAAAATTCAATTGACATCAGTTTCTGAGACCACAAATAGATAAAATGAATGACATTGAGGAATGAAGGACACGAGCCTTCAAAATATGTTTTGGTTCTGAATCCTTTTTTTCACAGCAAGAACGTATGAGACAACACCATATAGGAGCTCTGTTCAAGTCAAAAGTTAACTCCATTGAATGATTTTGAGAACAAAGTCAATTGCTATGAATTATTTTTTTGTCCTGAAGGTATCTGATGCAGTTTTTTCATCATTAGGTAATTTCTAAATTGTGTAGCAAATCATAGTATAAAAAAAAAAAAAAAAAAAAAAAAAACATGTGATGATATTTCAGATGAAAATTCGAAATCTTGAGCTACGATATTTCAAACGTTAATTTCTCGAGCCTCACATTTGGCATGTTGTTGTAGCATCGTTTTCTTCTCATTTTTAATTGACGCCGCTTTAATGGAATAGTACTCAGTTTTCTCCAGACCTCATGTCTGAGTAATTGTTATTTCAACAGATGGAAACTTCTTTATGATATCTCCATCAACCAAGTTGAATAATTTCCTCTTTCTACTTCTTCTGGCCTATTATCCAAACAATATATGTGTTCCCTTTAATGAAAATAAAAAGCATTTAAATAATATCAGTAACAAATTAAATTTTTCTTAAATCTGTAACTGAATCTTAACAGTTTTTCTTGATATCTTAATTAATATATAATGAATTTAGTTTTGATATTATAATAGTGTCAGAAAACTTTCTTATTTTGCTTTTATATCATAGTATCATACTAAATAAAGATGGCATCATTTCTTATCTTTCACACAGAAAAATTTGTTCGTGCCAATCTGCTTTTAATTATGAACTCCAATAAATCATTTGAGAGCTTTATCTATAGACAGAGGATTCTCAACTCATGTAACTGACTAAAACTATTAAAATAAAAATTTAAAAAAATGACATACCATAGAAAGAGCTACCTCCTTTTAAAATGGAATTACAATCCTTATCTACTAAAGTAATTTCTATCTAAAGATGACTGAAAGAAGCACAAGCTCTCATACACCTCCAATAATCTCTTACTGCACTTTAATTACCTTCCAAATACAAAGAAAATAAAAGTCTAGATGTTAGGTTATTGGGTTCCATTTGAAAGTACGAAAGATATAAGAATAAAATAGCTCATGTTTGACATAATAAACATAACAACTACAATCAAAATTTAAAAATCTTTATTTATATGAAAAAACATGTTTTTCATGAAGTGCTTAATAAAGAAAATAAGTCCGTAGAATATTACGGGTAACTTTAATCAGGGTTAAAGCAATAATACCTCCTAATATATAAATTCTACAAATATTTAAAATCATAACTTCATTGTATTCCATCAAATCTTTAATTACATAACAGTTGCAAATTGAAATTATCACCAAATTTATTAACAAATCTTGAAAGCAATCAAGACAGCAACATATTTATTCACATTTTAAATAATACGCCAGTGAAAAAGTAATGAAATTAAACACAATCAATATCAACGATTTTCACTTTTGAATCTTTATCAATGCTATTAAGTAATTGTGTAGTTCAGGAATATTAAGTCAATCTAATATCATTAGAAATTTAATTATTAACTGCATGCATCAGTTCTATCAATGTAATAAATTTGAAGTTATAATGCACTACTATGTAAAGAAATCAATCATTTAACAGTACACAAATAATATTACATGCATTAAACATTTCATAAACTGCCAATGTTTGTAATGATAAAATACGGAATAAAACATTATAAATATGCATATCTCATTGTTTTATGCATAGCTTATCAGATCAGGTATCACCAAATAAAACACATTACACTTATAAAAAACAGCAGTATGTTAATGCTTTTTCAAACTTGATTTTGTCTAGTTTCACCAATATATTGTTCAGAACATCAGAAATTGACCCATATCATTCCCATCTATTTCGTAACAGACGATTAAATTATTTCAAAATTTATTAAAAATGTGTATATGCTTAACAATCTTCTAACATCAACGCTCCGGTTACTTCGGTTTCATGTACATTAACTCTGCAGACTATAACAAATCTCTGAATCAGTTTTAAGAATAAGCTTAAAAATTAATTAGTGCTTTCAAGTTTCTTCAATAACTCTTTTTCCATCTTCAACCGTCTTCGTTTCGTAAGCTCTTCTCTAAATTGCTTACGACTTTCTTCATCTACAGGGGGAAATATTTCGCGACGAGTTTTTACTACCCAATCTTCAAAATACTGAGGTTGATTAAATACGTAAAATAAGCCAACAGGAAAAGAAATATATAGCGCAAGTTTGAAAACTTCTAGTTTCCAACCACCCATATTTAGTCTTACGTGTGGAAAAAAAAAAACTCAATTATTATACAGCAGTCAAAATCAAAATTTTACTATTTAGAATTATGAAACCAAAGTCGTTGAATGCATCCTACAATTGAGTCTTTTTGCCCAAAGTCTAGCAATCAGGCTTTTAAATATTAATACGGAAGGAAAAGAAATCAATGATATTATGCAAGTCATGTATGGGGTACAATTTTCCAAAATAATATGCTTCGGCTAATCTACACAGCTCCTTGGTGTGTTATGAACGAGTATGAATTCTGAATTCTGCGCCCGGGGACAGATGCCCCCCTCTAGCTACGCCCCTTCTTCGATCGATAACTCCGTTCATTTCCTATTTATCATCTCTTTCGCCAAACACAATTTTAGTGCAAAACTGGTATACCAGAAAGTGCTTATTAATGTTATGGTAACTTGTTCGTTCTTCTTTCGTAGTAGATAGATCATTTGTTTCGCTTATTATTTTGAGGAAGCTGATGTGATTTAATATTTAATTTACCGTAGAGGCGATAAGTAATGTACAATATTTATTGGGATTAATTTTAATTTCAATTTCTAAAACAAATACAACTGTTAATTCTACTCAACTTGCTATCCCGATACCGAATAACTTTTCGATTTTCTAATACCCTTTTAAATAAAGTAATAATTGATAAACATTACTGTATTGTAAAATTTCTTGGCTCTTTGTGTATTTGAAAATGTTTGGTGATATTTAGGTTTCTTATTATTTCATGTATTGTATGTACATAAAATTCGATAAAGAAAATATTTTAAGAATGTGGTTTTTTTTTTTTAAACAACCTGATCTTAGAAATCTCTCTTTTGTGTATTTTTCTGTAAGCAAAACTATATTAACGCCTACTGAAATATATAAAATGGAGTGATTATTCAGAGAATCTACATATTAAAAGGGTGTGGGATAGCTCATAAAATTTCAGCTGACCCAGTAATTCCCAAAAGAAAAAAAATAATAGATTATGCATTATCTGTATCTAATAATTTTCTGTTTCATTTCATTGTGTTATATATAAAGATGTAATTATTAAATAAAGATGTAATTTTTTACGTCTTGCAAAAATGCAGCATTAGCACATTCAAGTAAGTTTTATTCATGATAAATCCGTGGATAATTTTACACTATATGTGTTGGTATGTACATTATTTTCTTTTATTGTCAGGACTTTTCTGAATAATATGCCTTAATTTATCACCTTAAGTAGTCTTCAGAGTTTGTAATTATACATATTTGGAAATCACAGAATATTTAATCTGCAGTTTTAATTTCATTTACTTATGATTGCTGTAAATGGTTATGATTTCGGATGTCATATAGTAATCCCTAGCACAAATTCTAAACAAATTTTCTTGAAATCCCATGCATTTTCTTTTTCTGTATAAATAAAATATTCCAATAAAACCTACCGCCATTGGATGACTCTATTTTTTTTTTTTTTTTTTTTTGTAAGCAGCAAGAAATTTTATACTATAACCTACACATCTGTTGCCTATGTGCCTATAATTTGCTATCATTTCTGATGGTGGAAATGTGGTGAATTTTCATAATTATGTAGTTTTTCAGTATAAATGTGTAAATAAGAAAAACTAAATTTGTTGTTTTTTGATAAATAATTTTTTTGTTCTCTTAAACCAGAACATGCATAAAAATATTTCTGTTGATAAGAGATCGGACAATCCCCTCCCCCGAGTTCTATACCGATGGTAGAAAATGAGAATGTTTTCTTATTTGCTTAAGTGATTTTTGCAAATCATGAAAACAGTATCTTCTTGAGCGAAGAAGACTTTCATGAAGTATATTACAAGAAAATGACTTCTGTTTCATGTGACACACAAGAAATATCCTAAAAAGCTAGCCTGTCTACCAGCGTTCAAACTACCAGTGCACCTTAGTCTTATCCACTCAACTGTGAATGAATACTAATCATGAAAGATGATAATAATTTTACTTGTAAGAATTTTATGTTCATTTTATAGAAGGTTCTCAGTTTACTCTGCTGTAGAATCTTCGGATGAAGTTACCAATTACATGATGTATCATCATTGTTTTTTCTTCATATCAAAAACTTGATTTAGAAACTGCAGTTTTTTTCATTTTTAATAACTATGCCTAGTAGCAGAATAACTATATAAAAAGACTCTTTATAATTAATATTTTCCAAGCAAGATTTAATAACTTAACATCATTCAGTTTATTATACCATTGTTATATAAGAGTCAAAAATGGCTTATGTGCATTTAATTACATAATTAACATTCATTTATTGTTTTACAATGGTTTAAACTAATGTTATGTTTTCACAATATCTAATATATTAAACAGCAAGTCTATTTTGCTTGGTTTAATATTGGTTTCCTAGGGACCAATGCAATATTTAATGTGTTAAGAAATTACTGATGAAATGTTAAATGGATAAAAACAACGCATTTGTATATAGAAAACAAACAATTGAAATATTCCAACTTCAAGTTATATTTTGTAATTATGCATATGATCCATGTGCAAAAAATATATTTGAATGCAGTACTAAAAAACTTAAAATTTACAGATTTTAAGAATTTATAAAAATATTCATATTATGCAACATAATCTGATGTTTTTGACAATATATATTAAATTGTAATTTATCAACCTAAATAAAATTTTGATTAAATATTAGCTACTAAAATATTAACAAAGAGCTCTCGCTTTATTCCATAAAACAAAATACCAAATTATAATTAAATGTTTTAATTTTTACAAACACAGAAAACAAATAACTGTGCATGAAAAAAAAAAAAAGGTGAAAATGTGCTTTAGCCCACTGCTTGGCGATTTCCAGTAGCGGCGATTTTTTTGAAAATCGCCAGTAAACGTTGTATAAACAAAGTTGCGAAGGTGGAGCTATGTGACGTGGGAGCTATGTGAAATGGGTGGGACTAAAATTGTGACGTCACAATGTATTCTCTACAGATGTAGAAATAAGTATACTAAATTTTTTGTATTTCAAACTATTAAATACGGTAAGTGAATTGTAACAGTTATTAAAACTGTAAACAACGTCGCAGTCTCTCATACGGGGTGAATATTTTAAGCTTTAGTATTTATATAAATAAAAACAGATTTTTCTAAATTTTAATTTCATATTGCGGAACATTTTAACTTAATCATCTTTACAAAATTACCTTATTGCTACGTAACGACACTATCTCTTACATACTAGTAAGTAAACAATCTTCATTATTTTCTAAAAATTTTTAAGCTTTATATTAATAAAAAAGGGAAAATATTTATTATTGAATATCAACATCATACACAGCTTTCATTTCCATGTTTCTTAAATTCCTAAACCACGTTCTATACTTTCGTATTAGAATTCTACACATTAATAAATTTTAAAAATCTAATTTCTCACAATGAAAGAAAATAAGAAAATATTAAAAATAAGCAATTTTAAAAAGAAAAAATATTTTCACTTACCCTTTTCAGGAAAATACAAAGTCTTTTTGACAATGACGGCACGTTTCCCTTGCATTTCCAATAAAGTAATAGATTTACATGTACATTCACTCACCTCTCTCAGCATCACAGATAAATCCATAGCGACTGTTTATTTAACGAAATATATACAGAAATATGGCAAAAACACACAGATAAAACCACTCGATTGATAACTACCACATAAGAACATTCAAACGGCAAATGAATTAACTGCTCAAATTACGAAGTAAAAATTCCAAAAGAAATCGTCTGCTTGGAAATTCTTTTTAACTGCAAGTATAGTTTTGAAAGCATAAATTATCGTCTGCTAACTTGACAATTTGTCTTCGGACATTTGTGCTCTCTCCGAAGAAATTTATTCGTATCTGGTTATTAAAAAAGCGCTATGAAAGCCATGGCTTTTCGATATCTAAAGCTACGATAGGTAATATTGTCAACGATAGGAAATTTTTAAAAAAAGACAACAAATATAATGAAATTAAAAAACAAAAAAAACAAAAAAAAATCTGAAATTAAGATTTTACATTACGCCCCAAAGCTGCATTTTTTCAACACTTTGCGTGTTACCTTATTAATTAAATATCATGTTCTTCGCACTTTAAACCGTAAAATTCAGTTCCACAGCGAATATCACAAAATAGTTTTAAAATGAGCATATCTTTAGATTTTCCGATACACAGTCTCGCTCGCTGGAGATAAAAATGTTTTTATCTGTAGAGCATTGTCATTGCTTGCTTTGAAATTCCTCAGTATGTTAATCAAAAATTCGTTAAAGTTTTACAAAATATGAAAACGATAATAAAACAAATTCCAAATTTGGGCTTCCAGATGCTCATATTCGCAGGAGGATGACGTTATTCTAAATTTGATTTTTCTAGGTACCGTTGTTTTATCAAAATGAGGGACACATACATACATTTATGAAGATTTGCCCATGTGCGCATCGATCTATTTTCACTTAAAAAAAGTTCCTAGAATTGCACAAACTCGGCATCGCGCACAACCTCGGCATTGCGCACCACATTGGCTTTGCCCATGTGCACATCGATCTATTTCCCGATATTACCCACTTGCAATTCTGGGATGTTTTTTTAAGAAATAAAAACATCCCAGAATTGCACAAACTCGACATCGCACACAACCTCGGCATTGCGCACCACATTGGCTTTGCCCATGTGGACGTTGATCTATTTTCACTTAAAAAAACATCCCAGAATTGCACAACCTTGGCATTGCACACTACATTGGCTTTGCCCATGTGCTCATCGACCTATTTTCACTTAAAAAAACATCCCAGAATTGCACAAACTCGGCATCGCGCACCACATTGGCTTTGCCCATGTGCACATCGATCTATTTTCACTTAAAAAAATCTCAGAATTGCACAAACTCGTCATCGCGCAAAACCTCGGCATTGCGCACTACATTGGCTTTGCCCATGTGCACATCGATGTATTTTTACTTCAAAAAAACATCCCAGAATTGCACATACTCGGCATCGCGCACAACGTCGGCATTGCGCACTGCATTGGCTTTGCCCATGTACATATCGATCTATTTTCATTAAAAAAATCATCAGAGAATAGCACAACGTCAGCTTTTCCAATCTGCTAGGATTGAGCCAAAAAGAAATAAAAAATATTAAAAATAAGCAACTTTAAAACGAACCATACAAGAAAATTTTTTTCACTTACCCTTTTCAAGAAAAATGTAAAGTCTTTTAGAGGGGTTTTATATATGAATTTATCTCAGGGGGAAACCCTTTTGGATCCTTCCTCATCTTTTAATAAATTTACTAACGTTTTATACGCCGTTTCCGTAATATATGCAGAAAAAAGGCTAAAACCCACAGGGGGAAAACACTCGATTAAAAAAAGAACCACCGCATAAAATATTCAAACCGCAACAGA